AGCACTCTTAACCTTTTTTTTTTCAATTCAGGACAATTATATTTGAGATGTCCTGATTGGTGATAGTAGTTACAAGTCTTCACTGAGTCATCGCCATTAGTATGTCTGTGTTTGTGTGAAATTTGTAAGAAGACAATTAAAAATATAATTTATTGTATTATCTCTCTAACTGACTTAGACAAAAAATGAATACAATTCTCTCAATACAATTTCTCTCTAACTAACTTAGAAAAAAATTACAATCTTCTTATATCGGAATCCCGATTTACAAAAGAGAAGAGGGTCGACGGAAATCCTCCCCTTTGTTTAAAACTAGATTTTTCATTGTAGCGATGAGATGCCTCTCTCGACGTTCGTATCGAGTTTGCTTCTCGCTGACGATCCGATGTCTCACTTCACTGGAACAGTTGATGTAAACTTGCGTGACAAGTATGAAAAGAACTCTTGACGAGTTGATAACTCAGAGCGAGTTTAAACTCTTAAAAAAAGTTGATTTGAACCGAGAATCGGTTAATAAGCCAAGGATGAAAGCTCCAAGAACTCTCTGTTGCCGAGGATACTCTTGGTTGAAAAATGACGACTTCTCCTTTGTGCAGTTTTGATCTCCAAAATTCCAGATCGAAGATCCCCCCACTCAGCTGAGTTTTTTTCGTCATTTATAGGGGTTTCTAGGGGTGTAACCGTCCCCTAAAATCTCTCCTTAATGGGGTGTAACCGACCCCATTTCGTGGAAAACGGATTTGAAACTGTTCAAGGGTTTAAGAGGTGTAATCTCCCCCCTAAAATCTCCATAATGAGGTGTAACCGACCCCATTAAGTGGAGATACAGTTTTGAAACCGTTCAGATTCTGTTTGAACCAGTCAAATGCAGAAAACGCGGGTCCGACCCCTGTGTTTTGATGTTATAACGCATGAATGACCTCTACGTTTTGATGTTGTAACACAGGGATGATCTCTGTGTTTTGATGGGAAGAGACCATCAATTTGTTGTCTCTTTTGTTAGAACGTTTACAAAGATCGTCATCTTGTAATCTTCGTTTTGGCTCTTTGAAAATATGAGAATCATCAGATTGTATCTCCCAATGTTGATTGTGAAGGCTGTTGAATTAGAGATTTTATCGGTTGTGAAGGTCGTCAGATTGTAATATTTATTGATCTACGTGAAAATTTTCCAAGTGTAGCCTTTTGGAAGCCGTCAAATTGTAACTTTCATCATCTGTGTTTGATAGGGATCAGCTATCTCCAGTAATTTTTAGATAACCTACAGTTTGCCTTGAGATGGACCTCCACCGCCACCTCGTTGAACACTCGGCCCCCAGAACGACCAGTGTGATAACCTCCTCTCCCTTCAAAGTTGCCTTTACATCTTCCAGGACCACCAGTACGACCCCCTCGTCCATAAGTGATTTTCATGGATAACGTTCTTCAAAAAGTGATTTTCATGGATAGCGTTCTGGCAAATGATTTTCATGGACAGTCTTATGGACGAGGGGGTCATACTGGTCGTCCTGGAAGAGATAGAGGTAACTTTGAAGAGAGAGGAGGTTACCACACTGGTCGTTCTGGGGGTCGAGTGGTCAACGAGGTGGCCGTGGAAGTCCATAAGACTGCGGTGGATGTAAGTGGCTGTGCATGGATAGCGTTCTTCAAAAAGTGATAAGTCTCAGCCAGAGAACCAATGGCGGAACTCTCCATGATTTGTAATCGAGCAGAGGAGTAAATGGAATCTAGGGTACCTAAGTAGGTGAGTACCATAAGTTTGTTTTATTGGTTTTGCATCTGTTTTACATCACTAGTAATAGAAAAAATCTGACGAAGTTCCTCAGCCAGATGATTGAACTCACCATAATGATCATCCATGGGTTTACCATCATGTTTTTTACGAAACAGCTCTTGAATAACTTCATATGCTCGATTGATATTACTGCTACTCCTATAGAGATCTTGTAAGAAACACCAAAGTTCATTCACTGTCATACAATGAAGGTCTAAATCCTGAATTTTAGGCTCCATAGTATTAAGAATCTGATGTAAGATGACACTATCATCTAATGTCCAAGACTCCGGTGTCGGAGTAGGAGGGTCCGTCAACAAATGACCAGTTTTGTCTCGGCCTGCCACGTGGGCTTCCACTAGAAATAGTTAATTCCATTAAGTTTTCGGTTAGTGATTCTACCAGAAAATATCTTTGAAACTTTCGTCTGGACCGTTAACTCAAAATTCTTGAGTTCCTCAGATCCGGCCATCATGAAACAGACGAGTAGAGATCAAGACGATACCCTCCACAAGTTGAACAAGTCCAAGAACCCGAAGGTTAACAATGCAGGAACGCGAAGGTTATCATCCAAGAACCCGAAGGTTAAAATGCAAGAGTCTGAAGGTTAACATGAAACCCGGAGGTTAAAATTCAAGAACCCGAAATAAATTTTTTTGGAGAACAATTCATAGATCTAAGTCAGATCCAAAAACAAAGGGACATGACAACGACGATCATCGATGGGGGGCGGGAGTTGTCGAGCAAGATCGGATCAGTGAAGTGGATCTGGATCTGGAGTTTCCTCCGTGGACCACTGATTCAACGATCCGAGTCGGACGTGAAGGAGATTTGACGTTGGTGTTTCGATTGTGGAAACAAGAACTGAAGTGAATATCTTAGCAAGGTAAGATAAACACTCTTCTCAAGATTGTTTCGATTGTGGAAACAAGAACTGAAGTGAATATCTTAGCAAGGTAAGATAAACACTCTTCTCAAGATCAAATCCAAGTTTGAACTCGAGGAAACACTGAATATCTTAGCAAGGTAAGATAAACACTCTTCTCAAGATCAAATCCAAGTTTGAACTCGAGGAAACATCGAGCAAGGTAAGATATCCAAGTTATTAAGAAAGCAAGCGGCAATGAACAAAGTAAGTGGTGGCGGTGGCGGACAAAGCAGGCAGCGACGAATTTGATCTTTGGTGGCTAGGGTTTCGAGAGAGAGAAGAGGAGGCGGAGACGGCTTGGGTTTCGAGAGAGAGGAGAGAAGGCGGTTAGGGTTTAAGAATTAGGGTTAGGGTTAGAACAAGTGGCGGTGGGAAATAGGGTTAGAGTTTAGGGTTTAGTAGGCTCTGGTATCATGTTATAGTTTGGAGAGAAAAGAGATTATTGGAGAGTTATCCCCTCACTCTATACTTTATTTATAGAGATGTATTAGTTACAAGTTAGTCTCACAAGCAATGTGAGACTAAACTAATACTCTCTTCTTCTTACAATAAGCCCTGACAATATAATATGAGAACTTATATAGAAATAGAAGGAACTGAATTGAGGTACAGATCAACTGATTACTACAATGGAGAATTACAGAAAAGTCCTCTCTAAGGTTCATAGAAATGATTTATGTCCCCTTATATTTTAAAACTAGCATTTTCACTTCCATCTTCTAATCCTTTTTCAAACAAAGTCGTATACAAAAATGCTCCAACTTGTATGAGAAGAAGCAAACTTGCTTATTTTTTGAAGGGTAAACAGATCACATGATACTCATCTGATCTTGTTTGAATGGAAATTTAAAAGAAGGGGGTGAGGTGTTACCTTTAAAACGCCAGGAGGGTTTTCTGTCATTTCTACAAACGTTAGAGTGATTTTTTACATTAAAATTTTCCTAATAAGCATCGTCTGTATATATGTCTAGTCGTGTACACATAAACACCATATAGTCATAGGCAAACGGGTTCCCCAAATATTTCTGTGAAGTTTCATGCAACTTTCAACTAAGTTTCATTTACTGTTTCTTGTGTTTGTATATTCTTTGATGAGCATTCTCATCGATCCAACTCTCTGACCTTAATGTAGGATACTTATCAAAGTAGCCTTCATTACTTGGAAATTTTGCTTTCTCTTATTTAATGTATTCCTTTAATATTAGTTTTTCTAATAAATGTATTCTCTTTTCCTTCATTCTTAATTGTTGGAATTGTCAAAGCTGTTGAAGTACATCCTTCCTCTTAAGCTATTTTAAGATTCTTGGTAACGTCCACCTTATCTCAAAAAAAATGTGAATGTTTGACGGAGATAATGTCTTTATTATGAACAGGAAAGAAGTCCAAGTTGGAGAAGATGAGACGATAATACTGTGCATGTATTTTTCGTCACTAACGGTGCAAACTTCAGGTTTTTCATAAATTTCGTCCATGGCAGCTGCTTTTGCAAGCATCTGGTTCTGTAAATCACGAGTCCTTTGCAGTCGAGATTTCGTCCATATTCACTACTACATGCTGAGAGTTTTTGCTGTCTCTGTTGCCCATAAGGATATTTGTTTTTACGCTGATACAAGCATGAGCAAGTAGCCTTGCAGCTCAGTTATACCAAACATCTGAATTGGAAATCAAGTTTTTCCTGTCCTGACAAATTGTTTATTTTTGTTGTGTAGATGATATTTGTAGAATCTCTATTGGGTAGAGATTGGAAGAGTTTGGGTTGTGGCAGAATGTTTTAAACTATGTACGGGCTTGAGAGAGTAAGGGATTTTAATACATTCTGGTACTTGTTCTTAGATGCAACACAAAAATAGTAGTGTAATGTTTTTCTGCTCGTTACTTTGATACCTTCTGGTGGATTCCGTTACCTTGATCTCTTCATTTCCATGAAACACCCCGAATTTTGGGGTGCCTTGCAAGAGCAAGATCGTCGTGAACTTTAAATTTTTTTAACCATTCTCTCTTACATGTAATTGACAAATAACTAATTTTTTTTATATGCAACGTACCCCCATCATCTCAAACGAGCATTAAGTTTCTTTTGAGGGGCATTTTAGTTTTTTTATCTATCACATAAGAAGAATTAATAAGAAAAATTTAAAATTTGGAGGGGTTTTGTGAGACACCCCAAAGGTTTGGGGGTTTCATTGAATAAAAAATTTCAAGGGAATTATGTACAGCCCCCTGAGGTTTAGAGGTTTCTCTCGAATTGAAATAGATGGGAGGGTTTATCTGTAAAACCTTTAAAAGTTCTAACTCAACCCTTGTAAACAATGGGCATTCGGCTTGCTTCCCTCTCATCATCCTCCTCTCTGCCCATGGCCAAAGCATTCCCTCTCACCACTCCACCTCCCCTCACCAAACTCCCCACCAAATCATTCCCAAAATGCCCCTGGCTCTTCTCCCCCTTCTTCCCTCTCTCTTCCCGAAATACCCCTCTCACAGTAACCTTCTCTTCCCGAAATGCCGCTCCCTCCAAAACCCCAGCCCCAAAACCCTCCCTCTTCAGCGAGGGCAGAGATGAGGACGAGTCCCGCCTCGTCTGCCCTGGATGCGGAATCTTCATGCAAGATTCAAACCCTAATCTTCCAGGATTCTACCAGAAACCCTTATCATCACCCCCCAAAACCCCCGAAGATTCAGATAAGCTCTTATTTGATGAGCTCGACGTAGAAGAGGAAGAGGAAATTGATGGGTCGCAGTCAAAATCTGATATTGGTTCGGAATTTGATGAGTTGTTGGATCGGGGCAAACAGGAATTTGATGATGAGGATGAAAAATTGAAGATAGAATTGTGCGAATTCGCCCCTGCCGGAGCTGGGTTAGATAACATCGTCGAAGAGACCCCTAAGAAATTGATTGATGAGTTCGACGAAGAAGAGGAAGGCGAGATTCATAGGTACAGTAGCCTCACCAAATATAGTCTTAAGGAATTGAAGGGGGAGAAGATTTCAGAGGCCGAGAAGAGAAAGAAGGCTAGAGAAGCTAAGAGGGAAGAAGATTTAAAAATGATTGGGCCGGATTTTGATGATGATGATCCTCTCTTAGGGGATTCCGATGATGAGCTCGTCGAAAAGGAGGAAGAGGAGATTGATTGGTCGCAGTTAAAATCTGATCTTGGTTCGGAATTTGGTAGCTTCTCAGATTGGGACGAGGAGGAATTTGATGACGAGGATGAAAAATCGAAAAAAGAATTGGATGGATTTGCCCCCGCCGGTGTTGGGTATGGTAACATCACTGAAGAGACTCTTAAGAAATTGAAGAAGGAGAAGATTTCAAAGGCCGAGAAGAAAAAGAAGGCAAGAGAAGCTAAGAAGATAGAAGTAGAAGAAGAAAATGTAGCCATAGTTTGTGCAAGATGCCACTCTTTGAGGAACTATGGTCAGGTAAAGAACCCTAATGCCGAGAATCTGATACCCGATTTCGATTTTGATAGGCTTATATCAACCCGTTTAATGAGACCCACAACTAGTGCTCCTTTAGTGGTCATGGTTGTAGATTCTGTAGATTTTGATGGCTCATTCCCGAAAAGAGCTGCAAAGTCTTTGTTCAAAGCTTTGGAAGGCAATAAGAAAAATCCAAAGATAACCAAGTTGCCAAAACTTGTTCTAGTTGCAACCAAGGTTGACTTGTTACCTTCTCAAATTTCACCAACAAGGTTAGATAGATGGGTTAGAAACCGAGCTAAGGTTGCAGGAGCTCCGAAACTTAGTGGCGTATATCTGGTCAGTGCTCGAAAAGATCTTGGGGTTAGGAACTTGCTTAGTTTTATTAAGGATTTGGCAGGGCCAAGAGGAAATGTGTGGGTGATTGGAGCTCAAAATGCAGGGAAGTCGACTTTGATTAATACTTTTGCGAAGAAGGAAGGGGTGAAGGCAACTAGACTTACAGAGGCACCAATTCCTGGAACTACATTAGGGATCTTGAGGATTCCCGGGATTTTGCCTGCAAAAGCTAAAATGTATGATACTCCAGGACTTTTGCATCCTTATTTGATGTCGATGAGATTGAATAGGGAGGAGCAGAAGATGGTTGAAATCAGGAAGGAGTTGCAGCCTCGGACTTATAGGATGAAGGTATGACGCTTCTCACCTTTTTTTGGAGTTGTGTTGTTTGTTAATAGTACAAGCAATTGTGTTCTTCATTTATAGTACAAGCATTGCAACTTACTTGAAATACATGATTAATGATTAGTTTGTCACAGTAAAGCAGTCATATGAACCAATCTACATCCTTTACAATGATATTGACTTGGTCAATTAAGATCACAAGAATCTGCTCATGTATTATGTTCTTAGAAACATTATAACACTTCGGTATCAAATATAAGCTAGGCCAATACATCAAGATGTATGTAATGTCTTAAAATAAAAATTCCTTTTTTTTGCAAGACTAGCTTATATTCCTTTGTCAACATCTCATCATAAAGATTTGATAAATTTTTGTTATTAGATTCTCCATTAAGAAAAAAAACTTTGATGTTTCGCTACTATATCCTCTGCAGTCTTGTTCTGTCCAGGATAAACATCCATTTTTTATAGAATGAACATGCAATTAAAGCTATTCAAGTAATTGATTTGCCTTTGGGCAACATATGGAAAGTTAATAATTGATTACAGTACAGATAGCCCCATTTCTGAGAAAGCAGGTAGCCCTTCGTTATGTTCTGTCCATCCTAGTGGGCTTCTCAACATGACCTGTTCAAATACATTTTCCTTACATTGATGTCATTATAATCCTGTCCAAATGCTTATTTTTGTATGCAAGCACCTCATAAATATTTTGTAACTATTCTTCAAACATACAATAACAGAAACTCATAGGCATGTAGCAAGTTGTAAGAACATGTATCTACTACAGAATTTCGGCATTTTATTTTGCAATATCACTTTTTCTATGGAAATATACTCTTTAAGATTAACATATTTAATCACAATTACCTAATTTCAAATAGACTCACATTTAATCAAAGCCCATGCAGATTCTTTCTATTCGAGCTGCATGTTTTTGTGCTTAAGAAGCCTGGTAACTCCAAATAAAGGATGAACCAAAGATCAAAATAACTAAGGGTAGCATAGACCATTAAACTTTGTAAAACAAGAAAGACGTCTTGAACTTGCTTATTTCATAATTTCATTTCTAAAGATTAAAATATATAGCTTTCTCTTTAAAACAAAAAAAAAAGGAAAGAAAGAAGATTCAGAAATAGGTTATTGACATGTGCTGATTATTGTGTGATATGCCTTTAGTTGTCCATTTTTGCACTATCATGTCACTACACGAGAAATCATATTCTTGAAACATCAATTCCTTTCATCTTAGCTAGTTTATAAATGTGATCATTGATAAAATCCGGTAGTATGCATTTGTTGACACTTCAAGGTTTTTGGTTTATGGTCATGATAGGCTGGGCAAAGTGTTCATGTTGGTGGCTTAATGAGACTAGACCTAAATCATTCATCAGTAGATACAATCTATATCTCTATTTGGGCATCACCAAATGTTTCCCTTCATATGGGAAAGACCGAAAATGCCGATGAAATTAGAGACAAGCACGTCGGTATGAGGCTGCAGGTGAAATTTTCTATTTCCATTATTAAGTTTTTATTATTTACACTTTGTACCCTAAAGTTTACACTTTTTTTGACTTAAATACCCCTAAAGTTTTTTTTGCATTTAGATACCCCAAACTTCACATCTTGTTTAACTTTGATACTCCAAAAGTTTTTGACACTTTGATACCCCAGATTTTTTTCTATCTCCATCATTAAGTTTTTATTATTTACACTTTGTACCCTAAAGTTTACACTCTTTATTAACTTGGATACCCCCAAAGTTTTTTTACATTTAAATACTCCAAACTTCAGATCTTGTTTAACTTTGATACTCTAAATTTTTTTTGACACTTTGATACCCCAAAATTGTGACATTTTGATACTCCAATTTTTTTTGACTTAGATACCCTAATCAAGTTTCAAATATTGTTATTAGAAATATATCAGACGACCAAAATTCATATTGAATCCCGATTATCGAGGATATATCGGGGATAAGTAGTAAAATCAGAGTGTCATATCGAATAGTGAGCATATATAATATTATATAATATTTTAAAATATAATTTAAGCACATTTAATAAAATATCGAGAAAAGGTCTTCGAGAGAGGCCGTGAGTAGAGGTCTTCAGTGAGTGATTTGGGGGAGAACAATGGAGGCTGAGAGAATTCGAGTTCCAGGATGAGCCGATGTAGAATAAAATAAGATATCATAGAATAGGATATCACTGTTTTTGTTTAGTGGATTCTGGTCGAGTATAAAAAAAAGGGTTTTTGTCTCCAAACCCGAATTAGTTCACTTAGAATGTAAATTGTAGGAAATCATATGATTTTTAACCCACGAGAAATTGGTTGTTTCATTGGATTACACTGATGTATTGGGAAAAATCGGCCATAAATGATATGCAATAAATTTATGCAGAAATCGTATTGACCATGACCCAAAACCATGAAAAACAATTTTGAATTATCTACTTAATTACCATTGGGTTGAAACAAATGAAAATGGCAAAGATTGTGGGTTATAGTTCACGAAACTCGTAAATGTTTAAGTATTCATACTTATTTGCCATTATGTAGAAATAAATGGAAATTGACAAAAGATGTGGCTTGTAGGCCATGACAATTGTAAATTTGAAGTGCATGTGTTTCATCTCTAATGACACAAAATGGATGAATATATGCAAAAAACACAGGCTATAGCTCATGACATTCGCAAAATTTTAAGAACACTCTACTCGTTAATGTTAGGTCAAAACAAATGAAAATAGATGAAAATCATATGTTATAGTGCATGAAATCACAAAATTTAACATATCCATATCTAAGTGCATTGACGAACAAAGTGAATAAATTCGTGAGTTATAGCTTATAAAAATCACAAAGTTTGAGGTATATTTACTTAGTTGTCATTAGGACGAAACAAACTAATATTGACAAAATTCTTGGGTTATATCTCATAAAAATCACGAATAGAAGTATGCATATACTTATTTGCATTTTTGTCAAAAAAATGAAAATGGATTATATTCATGGGTAAGCCCATAAAAATTGTGAATTTTGTAAGTACACGTCATACCTAATTGTCATTGGGTCGAAATGGATGAAATAGCTAAAATTTGTGAGTTATAGCTCATGAAATTCGTGAATATTTAAGAATACATATTTCATGGATGTTGGGTGGAAACGAACCTTGAAGTATCTATACTTAATGTCACTGGGTCAAAACAAAAGAAAATTGCCAAAAAAGGTACTTTGTAGCCCACGGAAATTGTGAAATTTGAAGTATACATAGATAATTTCGGTAAAGTTGAAATGAAAGAAAATAGGCAAATATCGTGAGCTATAGCGTATGAAATTCACAAATTTTGAAGAGAATCACAAATTTCAAAGTATGCATGCTTCATTACCAATGGGTTGGAACAAGGGGAAATGAGTGATAATCATGGATTATATCTCTAAAAATTTGCCATTTTTTATGTATATATATACCTAGATTGTTATTGGTATAGATTGAGGAAAATGGACAATATTGTCGGCTATACTCCATGAAAATCATGAATTTTAAATTATGCATACTTTATTTCCATTTGGTCGCTATTTATTAAAATAAACAAAAATCTTATGCTATAGTGTAGAAAAATTGTGAATTTTAACATTTGCATGCTTAATTGTCATCGGGTCAAAGCGAAGGAAAATGGATAAGTTTTATAGCTTAGGATACCCCGACATGGCTTCTGGGGCTCCGTACCCCTATTTGAAATGTTTCAGATACGGCTGCGTACCCAAACAACTAGGACACGACCATGAAAATTTTGGGTTCAAGTGAAGAGGGCTGAATTGTGAGAAGAAGACGATGGAAAAAGGGGTTGTTTGGGGCTGTTGTGTGTTTGAGAGAGTTTTTTAGTTTTTTTTAGAGTGGGGATCACTTGGTGACCTCTTGTTGAATTGTTGGTTTTTTTAATCCTTTCAATTCTAAAGTGTCATCCTCCCGTGTGACCAAGCACATGGGAACCAAGGCAATCTGAAGAAGGATTTGACTATTTGTCTTTTAGTGTAGGAGAAGGAAGTTGCTTTGATTTCTTGACTTTTGACTTTCTTATGGATGGGAAGACACTTCAGACCCTTCTTGGGTGTTTGGAAAATAGGTTGAAACTCTTACAAATTTCTAATTATTCGCTTAATTATCATTGAGTTGAAACTATTAAAAATGGACAAATTCGTAGGTTATAGTTCATAATCGTGAATATTCAAGTATGCGTGCCTATTTGCCATTATGTGGAAACAAATGAAAATTGACAAAAATGTGGCTTTTAGATAATGAAAGTTGCGAATTTTAAGTAAACGTTGCCATGGAGATGAAACGAGTGAATATGGGCAAAAACGAATGTTATAGCTCATGAAAATCGTGAATTTTTAATAACACTATTACATTGTCCTTGGGTCGAAACAAATGAGAAATGGACAAAAATTAGGCATTGAAATCACAAATTTCAATGTACTGATGCTTCAATGCAAATAGACCAAAAACGAACAAAGTGGATGAAATTCTTAGGTATAACTCGTGAAAATCGCGAAGTTTGAAGTATTTTTATTAATTGTCGTTCGGAGAAAACAAACTAAACTTGACAAACTTCTTGGCTTATAGCTCATAAAAATCGCGAATGGAAGTGTAGATACTTATTTGCCTTTTGGTTAAATAAAGAAGTTAAATGGACAAAATCGAAAGTTAAATAGCTTATGAAAATTGCGATATTTTAGTAGAAATACCCAATTTCCATTAGGTCAAAACGAATGAAAATGGAAAAATCTATAGGGTATATAGCTCATGAGATTGGAGAATATTTAAGAACTCATATTTCATTGACATTGGGTAGAAACAACTTTTGAAGTATGCATTCTTAATGCCAGCGGATGAAAACAAATTAAAATTGACAAAAAATATGGCTTATAGCCTACGGAAATTGGGAGTTTTGAAATATGTATACTTAAGTGCGATTAGGTTGAAATGAACAAAAATGAAACAAAACTCATGCGTGCCTATGGAAATCACAACGTTTGAAATATGCGTACTTCAATGCCACTATGTCAAACAAAAAAATAGACAAATCGTGTATTATAAACTTTGAAAATCAAGAATTTTACAACATATGCATATTCAATTGTCACTATGTCAAAACTAATAAAAAAAAGGAAAAAATCATGGGTTAGAGCCAATGAAAATGGAATTTTGAAGTAAGCATAGTCAAAACTAATATAAACAAAAAAAATCATGGGTTATAGTTTATAAAATTCACAAGTTTTCAAGAAAATTACAAATTTTGAAGTATGCATGCTTCATTGCCAATGGGTAAAAACGAGCTAACATGGATTTTAGTCCATGAAAATCGCAAATTTTTTATGTATTTATACTTGGTTGTCATTGGGTTAAAGCGAAGGAAAATTGACGAGTGTAGCTCATGAATCGCGAATATTAAGTACACATACTTCATTACTATTAGTCGAAACAAATAAAAATAGATAAAATTCAAGGGTTATAGTCCATGAAATCGCGAAATTTTAGAAGACCAAAGCCTACATTGCCAATGGGTCAAAATGAATGAAAATTGGCAACATTGTTAGTTATATCCCATAAAAATCATGAATTTTGAAGTTTTCATACTTAAATTTCATTGATCAAAACGGATGAAAATAGACAAAATTCATGGATTACTTATGAAAATCATGAATTTTGAATTATTTACTTAATTATTATTAGGTTAAAGCAACCAAAAATGAAAAAAATTTGCGGGTTATAGTTAGGGTGAGTAGTTCGGTACAAACCGATTAAAACTAACTGAACCTACTGAATTTTAGTTGTTTGTTTTAGTTTTAGAAAAACTTTGGTTTGGTTCGGTTCTTGATACCGAACTAATTGAATCGACTGCTCTCAGCAAAATTACCTAACACTTATGCTCGTCCAAGATGAATTGGTAATTTATACTAATATTTTGTGTATTAATTGATAAATGTTTGATTTTAGTTCCTAAAGTCATTGATTTAAATAGTTTTCTTCTATGATTTGGGATATGAGATGAGTGAAAGGTTTGTAGGAGCAACTCTCTTCTATTTTAGCTAATAATCCTTTAACTGAACAAACCAAATCGAGCCGTACCAAACCGATTTGACACAGTTTGGTTCGGTTTTGAATCAAATTCGGGTCAGTTCGTTTTGAAAAAAATGGTCAAACAGACGAAATCGACCGTTTGCTCACCCCTTGTTATAGTTCATGAAAATCGTGAATGTTCAAGTATGTTCACTTAATTGCCAATGTGGAAACAAATGAAAAATGTTATGGAGACGAAACGAGCAAATATGGGCCAAGCTAGCCAAAAACATTGGTCGTAGCTCATGAAATCTACAAAATTTTAAGAACACAATACTTCATTGTTATTAGGCCGAAACAAATAAAAATAGACAAAAATCATAGATTATAGCTCACGAAATTACAAATTTTAATGTGCCCATACTTCATCGCAA